GACCTCCCGCAAACACGGGGAAAACATGCAACCTCCACACAGAAAGATCCTGACCTGATGGTGAACTCAGGGCCTTCTTGCTGTGAGGCAAGCATGCTGCAGTGGTTAGCACACCAAACAACCTTTTCAAAATATTTCTTGGAAAAGTCCTCAACTCCATATTAAGCAATCAGCTGAGATTTTCCATCTGGGCACTGTTTAGTGCAGTTTTGTCTGTCGGTGGCATTAGTGAGTCTGTTGCTCTTAACTTGCCAGGGTTAATGTTATAAAGAAAAACACATTAGTCCTACAGCTCTTTAAAATAGAATCCAGTGTGTCCATATTCAGACGCTGAGCATGCAGTGGACATGTGGCTCTGTACAACCTTTTAGAAAGGTCGTGGAATCTTTAATGCAGCTGAAAACAGAGAGATTGTTTCCATATAAACAGTATAATGTTTCAGCAGATGTTCGGGTTGAGTGCTGAGTCTCATCTCTTCACGTAAGACTGCAATAAAATTTTACGACGCAGATTTAGCTGCAAAAAACAATGATTTCAACACAAGAGTTCAAAAAACAAGAAGACCCGGCATGACTACTTTGGAACTGAGATCATCTCGGAGGACATGCTTTTTTCCATTTCCAGCCTCGCTGTCAGACACACAGTCAGCTGTTATCTTCAGTCTCATACAATGAAACGCAGACGTCTCGGTCGCTGGTCAGTTTCATCTGCCCACAGTCCTGAGGATGAATAGTTTTATTGATCTTTGTGCAGTAAAGAGAGAAAAAACTAAATCGAATCAGTGTTCGCTGTGTGAACTTTTAAATCAACAACAGATCCCCACAGTACACCTTCATCAGCTGTCTCCTACTTCTTGTAAGGGTCTCGCAGCCTCTATGGAGTTACTCTGTCTCCATGTCTTCAAGAGATTTTCAGGTTTAGCGCTGGCTTTGATTCAGTGATATTCAAATCAGGACTCTGCTTGGTTTGTTGGGCTCAGATGCCTCCTGATGGTGATGGAGGAGAAGTTAAATATACGAGTGAATACATCTTGTAATGCTCAAATACAAAATTAGTTGATGTTTGAAGATGTTTGAAACCCAGGATTCAGCCGAGCACCGTCCTTCACCTGAGAGAAATTTTATTTTTGTGAGACTCAGTTGTGGAAAATGTAAAAGTGAGCGTAGCTGGATTGCTTTCAGCGCTCAGAGTCTGTTTGTACGTCTGAAGTGGACAGACTGTCATCTATCACCTGTCGGCCGCTCTGTTTGGATATATTATAAAGCCCTGCGTATTTTATCATTGTCCATCAGCTAACACACTCACCTGCTTTTGCATCAGACTAGTCTTAAACCCACAAAAGTCGCAAAGGCTCCACAGTTTTAGTCTTGGCTACATCAGCTTTGCTTGATTTACAGTTCAAAGTAATCCTTGAATGTTACACTGGGCCTTAATTCAGGCTTTCAGGTCATCTTCTGTCTGAAAAAAGATGCTTTAGCTCCCTTTAACTGGTGCTTCTTTCAAACAAAAAAAAAGGAACAGCTGTGTGCCTGAGATGATCATATTAGAGATATCCGCCCTCATTGACAGCAGGTGGGAGTGGAAACAAAGCAGTCTGAAGCCTGAGCTTCTGGCTCTCAGGGAGTACTTTGGCCATGTTTGTTATGATCATCTTCAAATGTAATAGTATATATACAGTATGACAGACGTTAAAAACAAGCATAACAAATATTTTTGGGTCTCTCAGACAGAGATTACAACGTGAGAATATTTTAGGACATGTGGGAGTTTTTCTGGAGAGAAGATGACACTTTAGCGAATGTTTGTTTTTTTGCAACTTGAAATTTGCAACATTTTCTGAAAGTGTAGCCATGTAAACATTAGTGGTGTGCTTTAGTTTGGAGGATGAATGAAGTGCTGTCTGTAACAGGATTAGACTTTGTGAGAGCAAACAAGAACAAAACAACCCTTTTATGGAAAAGAGCATGGAAACTGTGAACAGTCAGGACACTTGTAGAAATCAAGTGAAGTGAACATTTTCATGAGAGCATAATGAAAGAATCTTTGCAGACGGGATACTAAGTGAGTGTGAACACATTTTTAAAAAATCAGACATAACTGGGACAAAGCAGTGAGGACTTTTGGGAGAGCGAAAGCTTAATAAATGAGAGCTGAGAAGCTTTTGTTGCCGAGTTGAAGTGTGAAATGGCAGCTGCCTGTGTGGGAGAAGAGGCTTTTTAATTAGATTAAATATTGACATGAACTGAGTATGGATAAATGTGCGGTTCCAGGGTTGTGGGCGGAAATGTGATGTGCTGACTTTGGAGATGAGTCACGGTAAAAATATGACAACAAAAAAATTGGTTTGAAGCTGTTAAGACAAACACTGAACTCATATATATTTCAGGATGAAGTGTCTGGGGATGGGTTATTACTTTTTCTGTTATTACTTTCATTTTTTTAAAGTCAGTTCTTCATTGCCAAAGATTTACAAAAATGCAGATATTCTTTGAGAACAGCTTGTTAAAGCTCCATTTATAATCAGGCCTATGTTCAGTTTCTGCTGTGAAGTATTTCAGCAGTAAAACAGCGACACTCTGTTAAGTGATGTGTTTACCGAGTGCAGGTGAAGTGGAGCTGGATCGGTGTCTGCATTATCGGCCGAGTCTTTGAAGTCCAGACCTGCCTTCTGACAGTTAATAATTAATAGTTATCATCTCCTTGCCCCAAGTTTGGAGATTTTTATTTAAAAAAAACAAAGAAACAAACTTTTGTTTAGGATTTTTTGGTCGCTAGAAGATGCATTTACTGTCCAGTGATTGCCAAGACTTGCGATAGCTTACGGTTTTGTAATGTGGACCTTACACAGTTAATTCACACTTAACCCTGTGACCCTTGGAAACATCACACGGTTTGAATCTTGCTTCTCAAAAAAGGACAAACTCAGATCTCCATTAGTTTCCAAGTGACTACAGTAACAAGAGATAACATAAAACATGAAAGGTAAAATAAATAGCCATTACCATCTTACGGGTAAAGTACAGATTAAGAAATAGTTCATGAAACAATATTTAGGTCTTTGGTATGTTTCAAAAAGATATTTTAAATAAACTATCACAGCTGAGGAAACTCAAAGTCCCAAAACAGACTGGGATGATAAGAGAAGGGCTGACGATGAGTTAGCGGTCTAAAAAAGTACCGAAAAAAACTCTAGGCAGATAACTGTGACAAACACACAAAAACAGTCTGACAAAGAGTGATCGTGGACCACTGGAATATAAGCTGGGGAGCCAGCAGGATGAGTGGTGACAGGTGAGTTTGAGTGTAATGCGCTCATGATGATGCAGAGGGATATTTGATCTATCTTGGGTTACTTTTTCGCTGGTTATGGTCATATGGAGCCTAAATTTCTGTTTTATATTGTAACGTAGAGATCCTACGATAATACAGAGAAACCGCCAACAATCAGACAAGTTCTTTGTGACAGTTGGAAGGAAAAACTCCCTTTCACAGCATGTCTTTATCCTGTCTTCCTTCTCTCACCCCAACCGGTCGCAGCAGATGGCCCCGCCCCTCCCTGAGCCTGGTTCTGCTGGAGGTTTCTTCCTGTTAAAAGGGAGTTTTTCCTTCCCACTGTCGCCAAAGTGCTGCTCATAGGGGGTCATATGATTGTTGGGTTTTTTCTCTGTATGTATTATTGTAGGATCTACCTTACAATATAAAGCGCCTTGAGGCGACTGTTGTTGTGATTTGGTGCTGTGTAAATAAAATTGAACTGAATTGAATTTTAACAGGAAAAAACAGGCTCAGGGAGGTGCAGTTGGAGTGGTTATTGTTTGCTTTGCAATAATCGCACCAAAAATAAGATTTCTGAGAACTGAAAAGAATAAACTAAAAGAGAAAAGCTCTGCATTAAAATAAAGACAAAAATATGGAAAATAATGTGATTCTAGTGATTCACAGATATAATGGTAACATACTGTAGTTAATGAGCATTTAAAAGGGGACCAATTATTCTAATTTCTAGCACATTCATTCATTTATTCATGGACTCTGATAGATTTGATTTGGTATTTTATTCTGCAATTATGCAGCCCTGCTCTTGCAGTTTATCATTCACTTTAAGTCAAAATTCCTCTGATTGGCTGCACCTCACAAAGGGTTTTGAACCACAGGTGAGTCAGCCTGCCGTGGTCACAGTCAGAGGCATGTGCCCGAGATGGCATTTTAACAATATTCCCCCTCTAGGACATCATGCAGATCCAATAGAAGAAAAACCTGTCTGAAAGTGAGTGTGCAGAGCAGTCTGAAGCCTGAGCTGGAAGTGGCGGGTTGACGATGGCTGACTCCTCCAGTCCTCAAGTTGAAGCATCAATGGGAAAAATGCCAAACTCCAAATTACCGCTGATGGATCCATTGGAGTGTGTGATAACAAGAAAGTGCTGTCTGAATATTTGTGTAAATGGGTGAAGTGGCTTGTTATTGGCTCAGAGTAGAACAATGCTATATAAGTCCATTTACCTCCTGGCTCGCGGAGATTAGTTGTACATATTTTGGCCTCATCATTCAAATATTTTTCCATGTTTAATATGAACATCCGCCACTGAAAAAGTATATACAGAAAATAAGGAAAGAATAACAGGATTACTTTGAGTGGTGGCGGTGGTGGACTTTGGAGGATAATATTGAGGAATATTAATGGAGATTTGAGGAATCTTTGAGGAGTGTTTGGTCAATATTTGTCGGGCATATTTCTAAGTGTTTGGAAAGGGAATTCACATTGTTTATGGAGTTTTGGTTTAGTATGTGTGGGGAGCTCGGAGAGTATTTGTAAAGTGATTAGGGAGTGTTTGTGGACTATGTGGAGTGTTGGAGAAGTCACTGGCTGAGTGATGGTGATGGTGGAGCACTGGTGAAGTATTTAGACGTTTAGGAGATTACTGCCGGAGTATACAGGGGCGTGCTGATATACTGTACGACTACATCCTGTAGATTCACACACATGTTATCTCTCCCTGCAGACGGCTCAGACGGTCCTCCTGGTCGTCACTGTCTTCACTATCTGCTGGATGCCCCACCACATCATCGTCATGTGGGCGGAGTTCGGCACTTTCCCCCTGACCCAGGCGACCTATGTCTTCCGCCTCGTGTCCCACTGCCTGTCCTATGGAAACTCCTGTGTTAACCCCATCCTGTACGCCTTCCTGTCTGAGAACTTCCGCAAAGCTTGTCGCAAGGTCTTTACCTGCTACTTCCTGTACCCGCCGCCGCCCACAGAAAACGTGGTTCGTTTTCGCATGGAAAACTTCTCCACCACACACTCCACCACCAACATATGAAGGGCCAAGATAAATGACGCTCAGGGTGCTTATCTAGCAGTAAATGAGGGAAAGCTTTGTCTGAGTGGATCTGCTGCAGGCAGGTCACATGAAAATAAGACGGCACGTGATTGGAGGATTTATTCACAAGAAAACAAGAGACTCATCAGAAACTTGCAGAGCCTGCTGGACTGCTTTAAGTTTTGTGTAAAGATATTTCAGATATTGTTTTTAAGCTTTAAACTTAATATTAAAAAAACATTTTGTGATGTGTTGGTTTTTTTATCGAAAATTTTGAAACTTTCATACTTTTATGGTTTTTTTTGTTGTTGCTTTTTTTTTAAATAAGAAGAATTTTTTCAGACCATTAACGCAACCTGAAATCTTTCAGTTTGAAAATGTAAACTGTCATCATATCATACGGTATACAAATGAAATATACATAAACGTTTACATTTTTCATATTTTCATTCATTTTGTTTGGACTGACCGAGAGTCTAAAAGAAAGACATGCGAGTTTAAAGTAACCAGATCAGTTAAAAAATGTAATTATATTTAAAATATAATAAATAATTCTGCAATTTGTTTTTACAAAAATTAATTAATTACTTAAAAAAACCTTTAAATCTGTATTTCAGTTTTAATGGTGTAAAATTATTTATCTATTTATAATAATTGTGCTGGTTCAGATTATAATTTCAGTTTTTTATAATTCAGTGTTTTTTATTCATTGGCAACCTTCTCGAACCTTTGAAAACATGAAATCTGAATATTTATCCCGATTCAAATGACATTTATAACATCTGGAGTTTGTTTGTGTCTCACGTTATGAAATTAGGTCTGATTCATTAAAAATGTAGTAATAATTAATGAAGCTCGTTCAGCTTTGGTCCACAGTCAAACTTTGTGTTTCCTTTCTTTTAGGGGACAGAGAACAGAAATGACCATTTGGATGTGATGAATGTGTGTGCATGAAAGACAATAACACATGTTTATGGACAATTACTCCACATTAGCAACGTACTACCAATGATTTGACTTAACTAGGCAGTGAGCAAGGTCTGTATTTGATGATCTGTGTAATATTTATAGTGTGTGTAATCACAGGTGTTTGACCACAGTTTCTTTGTGTGTAAATAAAGTATGAACTGACTTCAACAAGCGTTGGACTCTCATGTCTATGTGAAGGGCATTGTCCGACATTTAGTGCCAGTATATGTGTAGAGCGAAGAAGAAAAGAAGAAACATATACTGTATATGGCATCAAATGAAAACCCGGCAAATAAAAGTGAATAAAACTACCATCTTTATTAAAACGTAAAAGCATAACAAAGGGAAGCAATTGTAATATTCTGTACTCGTACTGTTTGGTTAAACATGGTGATGTCAAGTATATCGCTGTATTCTATTATACTATACTGTGTATACTATACAACAGCGGTCCCCAACCCCCGGGCCTCGGACCGGTACCGGTCCGTGAGTCGTTTGGTACCGGGCCGCGAAAGTTGAGGCTCAGGTGTGAGATGTATAGTTTTCAAGGGTTTTAATCGGTTTTCAGCATTATTTTGTTACCGTTTTTATCGTTAACTCGGTTTTCCTGGGTCCTTTCACATGTGTTATGAATAAATCTTCTTTTTTTCGGTACCAGTACTAGTTTTATTTTGTTGTATTTATCCGCGACACCTTAAAGGCCGGTCCGTGAAAATATTGTCGGGCATAAACCGGTCTGTGGCGCCAAAAAGGTTGGAGACCGCTGCATTAGACTACACGTATGACCAAACATAACGACATATTCATATAGTGCTTTATTCAATATGCTTTCTATACCTGCCAGCCAATGTGGAATCACCAGTTAACCTAATATAAAGCATTTCTGTAAGTTCAGTAAGGACGATCTGTAATCAATCATCTGACTACTTTCCTGGGTGTTAGTTCTGTTCTTTACATCACTACCTCTTTCTCACGCTGTCAGCCTCAGTACCGTCATCATTAATCTAGTCAAATCATCGTCTTCTTGCCCACCTTCTTTGAGCCACTCTGCCTCCAATTCACATAGTTTAAATCTGTGCTCTCCATCTGCAGGGGAGGGGTGGAGATGTGCGTTTAGGGTGTGGTGTCAGGTGAGGCTGACTCACAAACCTGACCCCAATCATCTGATCATGTCTCCCCACTTGAGTATGTCGCTAGGAACTGAAGAGAGAACTGCGCGTGGTGTGAAGCTGAAGGAGGGCAGCTTGAAAGCTCCTGCAGAAAGCGATCGAAATTTAAAAACAAACACCGAGTGTGTAACGCTGTGTGAATACGTCCTTTATTATCACATTCTCCTTTTTACACTCGTGGAACCCACCCTCCTTCCCATCTCCACCAGACAGTCGCCTCAATCAGTCAGACCTCAGTCCTCATCTTCACCCCCGCCAGCATCCAGACTCCAGGGGCTCATGTCCTAAATCCTATCACTGCTGCGATTCCTTCATGCCATGATGGGTCATAGGAGTCAAATCACCAGATACATTAATTTCTCCTTCTCAATAAATCAAATTCTTACAAGTGATCTCACCTTATTGAAATGCATATATGTATAATATGCTGGAGGAAATCCGTGCAGGCACAGAGATCTGATGTTCAAACCATGACCATGGTGACCATGAAACATGAAGCAGTCTCCAGTCCAGCGCCGTACTGGGATAGAAGAAATGCTTTGACACAAAGTTCAAACTAAAACATTTTCTTAAATTGTTCATTACTCAGTGAGAGGTGGTCAGGGATTAAATTAAACAATGTTACAAAACAGGTAAGATTCTGATGATAATGAAGGCAAACGATAAACAGTGAAAATTTCAAGTCTACAGCAAGATTTTATGTTAATTCATCTTATTATTCTAGACAGTTTTATATTTATTTTACTGCAGATTTAATGAAGCACTTTAGTGCATAGCAAGAAAGAACACACGTGGCTTCTGCATGAAACAAAAAATCAGTCAGGTTTCGTTGTGTTTTGGCTTCAGTCCTGCGAAAGTAGAAGATTTCGCTGTGCTGCTGAGTTTAAAGACAAATATGTTTTTAATGCAGACACAAAGGAAAGCACATGATCGTCTCATCATTGAGCTTCTCACTGAGGTAAGACTGTAATGTGTTTCCCTTAAAGTATGAGTTGCCTTTGTGATATATGTTGTTGTGAATAAAACTGAATTCATTTCAAGGAAATTGTTGTAGTTTATAAAATATGATCAATACAGGAGTAAAAAAAAGTAGTATTATTCAGGGAATGTTCATTGGCTAACGACATGTCAGTCACAAGCCCGTAGCCAATGAGCATGCAATCTTTCTTGTGCTGCTGTCTGTCAAGATCGTGACAGAGAAAACGATCAGTTAGGTTAAGGATACTATGTTTGTTGTAACTGGTTACATTTACTTTTTCTTCTGGAATTTAACGAACAAAATGCAGGAGCTTTGTGTTGGGCAGGAGGGGGGGGCTGCAGCTTCAGGTTTAGCAGTTATTTCGGAGTTATTATTGATTCAGGAATACTGAAGCATCATGCTTGCTTTATTCATCTCCCGTGAGTTCAGAGCAGGGTTCAGTCCTTCAGGATAAACAGTTGTCTGAAGAGTTCTTGGACCCGGTCCTTCCCCGTGTCCTCATGGCCCCCCACTGAACGCTGAAACCAGATCTTTGACGCTGCTGGCTGTACGTGGTGTTTCCTCGTCCTCCTTCTTCTTCTTCCTCATCTTTCTTGGGTTGGCATTGAGACTCTTGGAGCGCAGCGTTGGATACATCTGGTCCTCCCCTACCAGCAGCTCCTCCTCCTCCTCTGCATTATTATTCTGACCCTCCTGTTCATGGCTTTGCAGCTTGCTCTCATCTTTGGATTCCTTGCTGGTCAACTCAGTGGCCCAATTCTGGTCCTGCTGGCCGGGGCTATAGATGATGTTGCTGACATACTTCTTATTGGAGGATGGAGAGCTGCTGAGGGTTGGAGAGGATAAATACTGTGTGACCTTTGACCTCTCCAGAGGGAAGGACACAGCCGCCTCTAGTCGGCCCTTCTCTATGGGTTTATCTTTGTTAGTGTCAGCCGAGTCACGTTGAGGTGAAATGGAGCAGATCTTGGGGGATTTGATGTCTGGGTCACAGGGAGAGATCAGAATGTCCACGTTTGAAAGAGACTGAGTGTCCTTAAGTCCTTGTACCTCCAGAGCTGAGCAGAACTCTTTCAATTCACCTAAAAAGAGAAGTTCAAACAGAGGATAACCGTTTACCTTCATTCTTCTGATATAATGCGTCCAATAAAGACTCATCTCCTGTCCTACCTGTTTTGGTTCTTCCCTCGCTGTTCCCACCTTGCCTCTCTGGACTCTGCTGGACCCTCTTGTCGTTTCCCTCCATGTCTCCGAAAACCGACGTCCTGTCGTCGTGCTCCAGCTGGTATCTGTACAGACTGTACCCGTCAGTGCTGTTGATGCTGCCTTGGCGCAGCAGAGTGCCCGGCTCACACACGGACGATCCTCTGGAGTGCGTGCGGACGAGCTCAGCTCGGTCGACGCCCGCCAGCTTCTCCAGAGCGTTCATCATTCGGTTAGAGAACTCCTCCAGCTGAGCCAGGCGGAGGTCGACCGTCTGCAGGGATGCCTTCATCGAGTGTTCCCTTTCATTTACCTCCTCCAGACGCATGAACATGTTCTCCACCCTGAACACACGACATGAGTACTCAGGGCTGTGATGGCAACAAGTTGTAAGTTATGCTGTCTCACTTAAGTTTCAGTTGCCGGGTAAATCATTACATTTTTGTTTGTTTTTTTCACATTTAACAGCATTTTAAGTTTTATTCAGTTCTTAACGTATGTATTTTTGATTCTGGCAGTTTTGGTCCTCCACAGATTGCACGCTGAGATGAACACGAACCTTTCAGACGTGACTCTTATTCGCTCGTTGTTAGACGACTGCTTCTCATCGTCCTTCTCTCTGAAGTATTCCTCCACACACTGTTCCTCAAACTCATGCAGACTCTTCAGCTCATCTGCATTCAGCACCAGCTCTGAGGGAACACAGCATTTTAAACTCGGCACACAAACACACGTGACTGCAATGTCTGCCTCAGACTGGTAGAGGTGGTTCTGATAGCTCGAGAAATACCAGGATTATGCTGTATTCATACTGAGCCTTTAACCTACTTTAGCTTCTGTTAGTGATGTGCTGAAACATATTACATTTTTAGATATCAGATACTGAAAAAAACTGAACAGGATCCAGAGTTTAAGTTCAGGTTCTGATTATGGCGGTCTCTGTCTTACGCAGTCGTCTTTCACGGTCGTCGTACTCTCCACCCTCTGCTCTCCGTCTGCAGTGGCAGCACAGCCTCTTCAGTACAATGTAGATGTGGGGGAAGACGATTAGCGGCGGGGGCAAGATGGGGCGGTCATGGAAGGTCATGATCAGCTGATATCGCTGGAACTTCCACACCTGGTTAGAGATGGACTTCACCTCAAAAAAGGTGTTGCTGTGGAGCAAGTGGAGAAAATCTCTTAACTCATTCACTGCAATTGACGTCTATAGACGTCAATTGCAGTGAATGACTCAATGGGTTTAACTCATTCACTGCCAATGGCTGGCAGTGAATGAGTTAATTATCACTTTATCATTATATAATCAGGTTTTCAAAGTTCAAGGTGAAGTTATCAACTGGAACCGTGAGCTAACTAGAAAATGGTTTCTAGGTATTTTTCCTTCCCACCAGTTAATAGATTATGGTGACATCTACACAGGAAGTGACATTCCCAGCCCGGGCTATTGTTTTCAGTGCATCTCTACTGTACCTCTGTAGAGCAATTGAGGGGACACACTGCAGATCTAAGCAGTTTGTCCTCAGATGTTTCCCTGGATAGAAAATTTTCCAACAAAATGATTTCCTCTCAAGGTCTTGATATAGACACAGTATAGCACCAATAACATCAACTCATGTTCCTGCTGCCAGATGGATACTTTGTTTCTATTGATCACACAGCCCTTTGTATCAGAGCAGAGAAGCTAAAAGGTCAAAGTTCATTTAAAAGCTTTGTTAAATTGGAAGTGTGCAAAAGTCTGCTTGGGTCTGAGTGATGAAAAATTTGTCATCAATGGGGTGAACATGAGGCTTCTTTTGGATGTCAGCATGCTCTACAGTCTGTCGCGACACTAATGTTACAGAGTTTGAACTATAAGGGCACAAACAGTGTGTTCATCCTCCAGCTCCGAGCAAATGAGTGAGTATAAGGCCGGGATTATACATGCTTGTGGACATGAACAGCTGTGTACTTGGGCAGTCACCACTTGATAATGAACCTCACGTCACATACTAAGTATGTACGTACGGCAAAGTAAACACTGCCATAATCAGCAGCCAAATGGTTTTTAGGACACATACGGATCATTCTCAGTATTTTGTCCACATATTTTTCTGTTTCCCCCATTTCCCCTTTTTCGACACTGAAACTAAACTCAACTCTTCTTCACTGCATTTAACTTGAAAAATATGACAAGTGTTTTTAAAGTGGGTTTTGTCTGAGTCAGTGTCTGCAACCCCTAATTTCCTTGTCTGCAGTGCAAGTGTCAAAGCTTAATTGACAGTTGTCTACACCTTACAAGGTGTGGATAAAGGCATGCCTGAGGCTGGCTTTGGGGGATGCCAGTTTTTGTCTTTGTGCTCTCTGGGCTGTCATGTGTAGCTCGGGTTACTAACAGATTTAAAATTAAATGTTGTTTCCTCTTTATGTTGTGACTTTTAAGCCACGACGGAACATATGTTACAGCTCGTGTCTGCAACGACTGCTCGGTGTACTGACTTGAAGACGGCAATGAGCAGGTTGACCAGAAGGATGTTGGCTACCAGCAGGTAACAAGCCATGATGGCGGGCGTGAGCCAGGCTCCAGGGATGCAAGGAGGAAGCTTCTTCCCATCTTCATCATATAAGTTTTCTCCACAAGGAGCTGAAACCCAAATACACACACACACACACACACACACACACACAGACTTGCAGCACTCATTAAATCTGACATAAAGAGTAAACTATAACAATGCAAAAGACAACATCAGGCAACAGCATTTATGAGCAACTGAGTTTTTATGAGTGTTACCAAAGAAATTTTAAATAGGGTCTGTAACACCCACCCTCAGAACCTCCTTGTTTCATAGACAGCACTTATGAAATGACACATTTTTGTGAGGGTAGCTTAGTTATTTCAGCTGCTAAACTCATTTCAGCCTCTTCTGGTTCAATGAGACTGAACCGAAGGGAGTTAAAAGAAAATCAGTGGGTTTAAAAGCATAAATTCAACAAATGATGGTCAGTAGATAATACAACTGAGATTTCACAACACTATGAGACTAGCCTTGTATGATCTCAAACGCATAGATGAGCACATTAACATTGACTGTTTGGTTTGAGTGGGTTAGTGCTTTTAGATGCTTACGGTTGATTTCCATCGCGTAAACTGTCCAGGAGCAGCGGAAGGAAAGAAGGAAGAAAAATAATCAGCTGAAAATCCTCAGAAAGTGAAGACGACTTCATGTTGGAACCACTGAAGGAGATAATGTCTAACAAAGGAGAGGATGACAATCACAGTCACAATGAACACCACAAATCAACTGCAGGGGAAAAAATAAAATTCGTTTGTAGTATCCAAATCATTAATAAAAAGCACAAGTACAGTGAAAGTAAATACAGAGATCAATTGTTTTTGGAGGGAGAGGACAGCAGGGTGTGTGGAGGGAGGACGGGGTAAGGACAGCATGAGGACAGGGGACTAACAGCTGTCTTACTATGGATTCTAGTCTTACGGTCTATGGAGTCGGCAAACACCTCTCCGTAGATCATCCAGTAGGGCATGTAGAAGATGTTGCGGGCCAAACGCCACGTCGGCTCCTCATCTGGGTGGAGGATGGCCTGCCGAGCTACACCAAAACTCATCAGCACCACCAGCATGATAACCACGAAGTACAACATGTCGATCATCTGGAGACATGTGGGAACACGAGACATTTAACCCAATCAATGTGGACTCTGTGAGGATATCAATATTATAGCACACGTATAAACAATAACCTGTGTGCACTGCTGGTCCCCCACATAAATCTGATAATACAGTGTACATGTAGCTGTGTACTGTGAGCTACCAGTACATCACAGTCCTTTTAAATGTAAGACTATGATTTCCTGGTGCCTGTACAAAAGGTTGTGTAACATTGCGTTGGCCTGACTGTAAGTGCGGTTTCCTGAATGAAAACATAAGAAGAAACCCACACCAGGGGTCCTACCATTTTGCCGATCATCATGACATAGGGCCCCAGGTATTTGTTTACTCCGAAGATGTCAAGAACTCGGATGTACCAGAAGATGATGTCGACGCAATAGATGACGCGGCCATATCCCATGTAGGGCTCAGGCTCCAGCCGCAGCAGGAACCCAAAGATGAAGACCGAGATAGCCACCAGGTCTGTGATGTTCCAGTAGTCCTCCAACCACACGTTGATCTTCTGCTTCAGCTTCCCAGGCTCGGACATCAGGATCTGACCAAGCAAGAGTTTTCATCCAGGTCAGAAGTTCATTTTTCAGAGACTGTAAACACGTTACTGTACAACCCGCTTGAACTGTAATGATTTGAAAAGTTTCCTAAAGTATCAATATTGCTAATGTAATTCAGTCTAATGCATTTCTAATGGAACAAAACAATTAAGGATCAAATGTTGTGTTAAAAGTGTAATTCAAGAAGAGACCCTTTAATATGAGATCACCTTTCAACCTGTCAGCTCAGAGGATTAAACCTTTAGGTTCTGCCATTGAGCATAATTTCAGTTGCATTTGGTTTTTCATGTAGTTTCTTCAGTAAAGTGTAAAATTCTAATTAGGCAAAAATAAAACGTTCTTTTTCTGTTATTAGCTTTTCAGATCTCACCCTGCACCCCGATCAGATTTCATTTTGTCCTCACACCTACTGAGCTCATGCTAACTGTTAATGGCTGTTTTGTTTGTTTGTTTTTCAGGCACAAACGTTGCTTTGCCTTCAAAATTTTAATGACCTTCAGAGCAGAATCCAGAGTTCATAACAAGCTCACACTCAGTCTGAAAATGTAAAAAATAGACTTGTCAGACAAGAGCAGTGTCTGTGTTATATAACACAGTACTGGCATACCAGTATAAATTGCAACTTGGAGCAGCAGAGATAATGTTGTTCTTGCACACCTTCACAGACTGGAAGAGAACCTGATGTGGATCGATTTAACCACCTGGGCCAGTTCTTGTGAAGTTAGGGACTGAAATCTGCTGCTGAGTGAGTGTCACAGAAGCAGGCGGGGGTTAAACAGCCAAGGTGTGTTTGACGTTCACCTGTCTGAATTTCTCCAGGCCCAGAGTGACGATGTAAGAGACGACGATCCACTCTTGCAAAGACGGCCACCGCTCCATCTTCACCAGGATTATGTAGTTATACAACATCAGATACACCAGGTATGAGATCTGGCATGGACAAAAAACACAAGGATCATAGAATCTAAAAGTAAAAATTCAGCTTCTGGATTTATGATGGACAGCTAGAATTGGGAACGTTTCAGACTCT